GTGGGGGTGGTGGGGGGGGGTGGTGGGGGGGGGGGGGGGGGGGGGGGGGGGGGGGTTCTGGGGCACTTGGGAAATCGCCAAAGGCCAAAAGCGAAGTCAAAAGGGAGCACTGAGGTTTAAAAAAGGAACCCCAACCCACGACCTGCTTGGAGGAGTACCCGCCAGACCTGGATTGCACGACTGGGCTGACCTTGGCCGACCTTGGCTGAGCCTGGAAATCGCCTCAGGCCAGAAAAAGTCAAATCCCTGGCGTGGCTCCTGTCGTCGTTTGGCCATCTGCCGGGCCGTTAGTTCATAACAGCGTGTCTCTCTGCCCTGCGAATGGTCTGATTTTGCTTCTTGAGCCATAAGTGCAGCATACGGATCACCGAGCACGAGCACATTCCGGCCTTGTGGCCGTCAAACGGCAGACCTGCAGACCTATATTGAAGATTGAACCGCAGCCATGGCTCCTCGGAAGCTGTACCGTGTGTGCTCGCAACGGCACAAGTTGATGCGGTGTTGCACGGTTACGGGGCCACACGAGACGCACTCGACGACGACGATTTCGGCCAGCATGCTGAGCTCAACCGGCTCACAGAGGCCGTTGCAGACTACAGCAAGAGATCTCTGTTCGACTTGCTCGACTTGCTCGCGGTCCTCTCGAAGTCCCACGTGCACATCCGCAGCCGCAGCCGCAGCCGCAGTCGCAGTCGTCCGGGTCACCCAATGCGGTCACCAGCAGGCTGTAGGCCACTCGCTTAGCCCCGGCACCGGCCTCCTGCCGCTGGCTCTAGCACATGTCAGCGGCATAACACCGCTGTCGTCGCCGCTGTCATCGCCTCTGTCATCGCACTCGCGCTTTCACTCCCCGACTTCTCTTCCACGTCAGCCCGTCCGCCCGGGTTCTTCGCCTCTCATCATCCATCCGTCTTTGCATCGCCGTCAAAGATTCGCCACAAGTGCAGCCATGACTGCCCGGATACTGGATGGCACCGCCATCGCCAAGAGCATCCGTGAGAGGATCGGTGCAGAGATTGTCGAGAAGCAAAGGCTCAATCCCCGCTACAAACCTTCTCTCAAGATTATCCAAGGTACGCCCCTGCATCCTGCAGTCCTCAGTCTTCAATCCACCAGACGCTTGCTGCTGCCTCTGCATTTCTCTTCTCAATTGGACATTGCAAATTGGTACTGACTCTGCATTCCACAGTTGGTGATCGCTCAGACTCTTGTTCGTCCCCTCTCACCCGATTTTTTTCTTGACCCCTCCCCCGCCATCGTCGGCTTACAGCTAACCGGGGAATCCCGTGTCTACAGCCACCTATGTGCGCATGAAGCTCAAGGCCGCCGCAGAGGTACGACACTCTTCTTCATGTGCTTCTACATGTGCCGGGTAGGGTACATTTCTAACGCGTTATACAACTTTAGGCTGGCGTCGCTTGCGAACTCCTCCAATTCCCAGTCGATATCTCCGAGCCCGAGCTGCTGGACCAGATCCGTCGCCTCAACCACGACACCACTGTGAATGGCATTTTGGTTCAACTGCCCCTTCCCGCCAACATTTCCGAGTACAACATCACTTCTGCTGTGGCCGACGAAAAGGATGTCGACGGCTTCGGAACGAACAACATTGGCGAGTTGGCCAAGCGTGGCGGCGCTCCAATTTTCACGCCGTGCACCCCCAAGGGCGTCATGTACATGCTCAAGGAGGCAGGCATCCAGATCGCTGGCAAGACCGCGGTTGTTCTCGGCCGAAGCAACATTGTTGGCGGACCCGTCAGCTACCTCTTGCGCCATGCTGATGCCACCGTCATTGTCTGTCACTCCAAGACCCAAGGACTGGAAAACTACCTCAGGCACGCTGACATTGTCATTGCCGCCATTGGACAAGCTCAGTTTGTCAAGGCCGAGTGGTTGAAACAAGGTGCCGTTGTCATTGATGTCGGCACCAATTTCATCCCCGACGCCTCCAAGAAGAGTGGCCAGCGCATGGTCGGCGATGTTGACTTTGAAGGTGCCTCCAAAGTTGCCTCCGTCATTACCCCCGTCCCCGGCGGCGTGGGCCCCATGACTGTTGCCATGCTTCTGCAAAATGTTGTCGAGGCCACTAATCTCTTCTTTGAGAAGGAGAAGATCAGAAAGACGATCCCTCTCCCGCTCAAGTTGAAGACCCCTGTACCGTCCGACATCGCCATTTCTCGAGACCAGAATCCCAAGCAAATCACTCGAATTGCCGCCGAGGTTGGCATTGCTCCACATGAGCTGGAACCCTACGGTGCCTACAAGGCCAAAGTTGACCTTGATCTGCTGAAGCGCCTCGACCATCGCAGGAACGGTCGTTACGTCGTGGTTACCGGTATCACGCCCACACCCTTAGGAGAGGGCAAATCAACCACCACTATGGGCCTTGCCCAGGCTCTCGGAGCCCACGTGGGACGGCTCACGTTTGCCAACGTCCGGCAACCTAGCCAGGGCCCTACCTTTGGCATCAAGGGTGGCGCTGCAGGCGGTGGCTACAGTCAAGTCATTCCCATGGATGAGTTTAACTTGCATTTGACTGGTGATATTCACGCCATTACTGCTGCCAATAACCTTTTGGCCGCGGCTATTGAAACTCGCATGTTCCACGAAAACACCCAAAAGGACGGACCTCTCTATAGACGACTTGTACCCGCCAAGAATGGAGTGCGAAAGTTTGCGCCCGTCATGTTCCGCCGCTTGAAAAAGCTGGGTATTGACAAGACCGACCCCGATGCCCTCACCGAGGAGGAAATCCGACGATTTGCCCGTCTTGATATTGACCCCGACACCATTACCTGGAGACGTGTGCTAGACGTCAACGACCGCCATCTGCGAGGTGTCACTGTTGGCACTGCCCCAACTGAGAAGGGCCAGTCCCGTGAAACTGGCTTCGACATCTCTGTTGCCAGCGAGTGCATGGCTATTCTCGCCTTGAGCACAAGCTTGGCAGACATGCGCGAGCGCCTGGGACGCATGGTTGTTGCTACTTCCCGCAGCGGCGACCCCGTCACTTGTGATGATATTGGTGCCGGCGGTGCTTTAACGGCCTTGATGAAGGATGCCATTAAGCCCAATCTTATGCAGACTCTGGAGGGAACTCCTGTGTTTGTCCACGCTGGCCCGTTCGCCAACATCAGTATTGGACAGAGCTCCATCATCGCCGACAAGCTAGCATTGAAGCTGTCCGGTACCGAGCCTGACGAGAACCATAGCGAATCAGCTGGATTCGTCGTCACCGAAGCCGGCTTTGACTTTACCATGGGCGGTGAGCGCTTCTTCAACATCAAGTGCCGTACATCCGGCCTTGTTCCCGATGTAGTCGTCGTCGTAGCTACCGTTCGCGCCCTCAAGGTCCACGGCGGCGGCCCCCCCATTGCTCCTGGCGCTCCCCTAGACGCCGTCTACACGCAGGAAAATGTAGAAATTCTGCGCGCTGGCTGTGTCAACCTCAAGAAGCATATCAGTAACGCCAGGTCGTTCGGTATTCCCGTAGTTGTCGCCATCAACAAGTTTGCCACCGACACGGATGCTGAGATTGCCGTTGTTCGCGAGGAGGCCTTGTCTGCTGGTGCCGAGGATGCTATTCTGGCTGACCACTGGGCTCAAGGTGGCCGGGGAGCCGTTGACCTGGCCAAGGGCGTTGTCGCCGCTTGCGAAAAGCCCAAGAACCTCACCCTTACCTACGGACTGGACGGCACTATCCAGGAACGTATCGAGGCCATTGGACAGAAGATGTACGGTGCTGCCAAGGTCGAGTTCAGCGAGCTGGCCCAGAAGAAGGTCGACACATACACTAGACAAGGATATGGCAATTTGCCTATTTGCATTGCGAAAACGCAATATTCTCTCTCTCACGACCCTGACCTGAAGGGTGCTCCTACCGGCTTTACCGTTCCGATTCGGGACGTCCGTATGGCCGCTGGAGCAGGGTACCTGTAAGTTAATTGACGAGGATTTTGCCACGCGGACCCAAGCTAACATGAACAATGCAGGTACGCATTAGCCGCTGATATCCAGACAATCCCCGGTCTCCCCACCGCTCCAGGATATCTGCATGTGGATGTCGACACGGAAACCGGCGAGATTGATGGGCTGTTTTAGAAAGGGAAAATATGATCTAATGAAAGGGTGGCTTCATTAGAAGTGCATGGGGTTTTCTTGGGTGCATCATGATAAACACATTGTCTTCAACTCAACGTGGTATGGCAAGCAGAATTACGGACAGCAAAGCAGCGTCTTTTTTTGATCTTCAACATATGGCGCGGACGGGGAATGGGTTGGTGCATTGCACCTGTGTAAATGGCTTTAGATGAGAATCCTCTTACAATAAAGCACTTTGATAATGACCATTACATGGTTGTCAGCTTAGGCTATTACCCGACGATGGAACATGAGGTGACTGACAGTGGCGAAGCATCTAATTTCTTGCGGAGAATGGGAGCATCGCCAGAGAGGGACATCGTGATGAGAGCCAATTTCTCCTTCTCATCACCAAGGCATTGTTCTACCCTCCGTCTCATAAGTAGAGACATGTCTATACACACTACGCCTGTGTGCGCTAAGCACTATGCACCCCCAACTATGCGAAGACAATCTAGTGGAGTATTCTACCCAGATCCCACGGAATATCGGCACCAGGACTAACTGGGATCTGCCGAGCCTCTGGAACCCCCCAAATCTATGGTTCTGAACCTATTTTTTGACGTTTTCCCGTGCTATTTTGGTGAGATGAGGGAGACGCGGTATTTTTGTTACAAAACGCTGTGGTCACGGGGTTTTCAAACTTCAGTGCCGGTTGCTGTTGAGAGGTGGAGTCGTTGCATGGAGCTGCTGAACCAAACTTGCTTTCCAGAGAATGGGCGCTGGGAAATTGGCTTGTCCGTGCGAGAAGGCTGGAGAATGGCAGCAGAAGACGGCGCCGTGTGGCACAAACCAGCTGACATTTGAAGTGAAGGCTTGTGGCATCAAAAGAATAGGGAGCTGCAAAGGCGGTGAAATGCCAAATGTGAAGAAGGTGCGACTGCTAACCCGTGTTGACATCTCTCTCCAGCACGGCAGGAAGGAACAAGGGACCCCCAAGACCAATTTTAACGATGATCGAATGTTGATTCTCCCCTTTTGTCAATGTGGTCACACTGACTCTTGTTGACGGACAGCGCACACGCCTCCATCTCGGATGAGCCGGTGTCCGACGCCAAAGGCAACCGCCCGCAGCGTTTGTCCAATGCCGTGATTCCAGTGACTCGGGCACGCTGGCCACTGGCGCCGGGATCGAAACCACCCGAGGTCTTTTTTGTGGACGTTGCCATTTTACACGGCGCGCCTCCCCGCGACCAAATGCCGATTCGAGGCCTGCCATTTGTCGGCACGCTCAATGGATCTTTATTGTTTGGCCATGTTGTCCGTCTTTTGTTGTTTGGACATGTTTGGATTCGCGGTGAGTCTTGTGCTGTCGACTCTCGGCAAAGCTTACAAGTTGAAACACGGCACGGACGAACCAAAATAACAACAAGAGCCGCTTCGATATTGCTCCAACGAGACGCCTTCCAAAGAGCTTTTCCCATGTGCCAGGCAATTGACAGTGCGTTGCTCATTGGGATCTTTACCACAGGCCAAACACCCCGACTTGTGGCCACGAAGGGCTCGGTCCACATACTCCCTACGGAGTACTGCCGACTCGAACCAACCTGTTTACAGGTATCTGTGCCCCGACGATTGGCCCAAGTGGGAACGGATGTTTCCAAACCGAGACCAGTTTCGAGGTCTGGGAAACGCCTCCCCATCGGCTGCCAGTGGCCCGAGGACACGAGTAGCTAGCTAGCTGCTCTGTTTGAAATATATGCTGGCGCGCCCTTGGCTATTCTCCTGACGTTTTGCTGAAATTGGATTTTTCAACTACTTTGTCACGAATTCTCTCGGCCTCTGTTCCTGTATTTTATCAACGCCGAGGTTCTGTTTAATTCTCTTCTAACAGCAGAACGTCTGAGAGATCAACGCCCCTTGACTTGTCGCACACCAATCGTTTCGCCCACTGTTTCATGTACTCAACTTGCCAACTTCTTCTCTTCAAGCTCTCTCCAACTTGAATTGTAGTACTCGTTAAACTTTGCAATTCATAAATTTCATTCGACTCTAGGGAGTTCTTAAATTGGACTTTAAAAAACGAGCACATCTGCACTGGACGCGTGGTTGACCTACGAATTGGGGGAACTGCCTGCGCGCCGTGACCATGCAGAACGTCCTGCTAGTCATTGGAGCCGCTCTTTTCTATGGCATTTTTCGTATTATTTGGGGCCTCAGGCGGAACATTGCCATGGCCAAAGCAAGCAACTTGCCCTATCTTGTTGTTCGTAAGTCAAGACCCTTGTGCTGCTACTCCTTGTTCCCCCATTGTTTCTCGGTCATTCAATTCTTCAATGGGATCATGTTTCTGACTTCAGGCGGCGTCGCTCGTTTGATATTCAGCATGTGAAATGCTAGCTAGACACTGGCTGGTACTAGCTCCCTTGTATGCAAAGCTGATAAGGCTGTTGCCCAAGTCTTGGTGGGATGACTGGCTAGAGTAAGTTTTCAATTTGCTTGATGGATAAGCTTAAACAGTTTAGTCTTGATTTCTAACCTGGAACCAACAGCCTCATGATCCCCGACGCCGCTTACAGGCTGGACAGAAAGCGCTATACACGGCATGGCGACACGTTTGCCCTGGTGTCTCCTGGTGCCATTATGATACAGACAGCCAATCCCGAGGTGATCCGGCAAATCCTTGCTCAGCGAGAAAACTTCCCCAAGCCGTGCCAGATTTATCGCATGTTGAGATTGTTTGGCGAAAATGTTGTCACAACCGAAGGGTGCGTGTGGAAAGCTCATCGCAAGGCTACAGCACCAAGCTTCAATGAGAAGAATTCCGCCCTCGTCTTTCGCGAAATCATTGAGCAAACGAATGGCATGATCAGCACCTGGGTGGACAGCTTCGGCAACAGGAGTGAACCTCTGACAACTATCTCGGCTGATATTACGCGACTCACCATCAACGTCATTAGCTATGTTGGATTCGGCCTGCGACTTCTCTGGCCAGGCCAAGTCTTGCCACCTGGGTCAGACATTGCCGCTGCAAAGTATGCCTCACTGGACCCGCCACCTGGTTACTCATTGTCCTTTGTAGACACGCTGGTTCGGCTACTGAACAACATTTTAATTGTCCTATTGTTTCCTCACTGGATGTTGAAACTATCGCCATGGAAGGGTCCCCGCCTGGCTGCGGCAGCTTACCAGGACTATGTCCGATACTCAAACGAGATGATGAATGAAAAATTGGATGCTCTGCAAAATGGGACACAAGCCGAAGAGGGTATGGATTTCATGGGTGCGCTGATCAAGGGGTCATACGGATTGGATGCAAAGGGCACTGCAGACAAGCTTGGAAAGGCACTGGTCCTCAACCGAGAGGAGATTCTTGGGAATGCATTCATCATGTTTGTTGCAGGCCACGAGACTTCGGCAAACACAATCCACTTCACCCTCATTAATCTTGCCACGAACCCGGCGGCTCAACGGTTGATCCATAAAGACATTGACGAATTGGTCGGCAACTCGGACCCCTCGACCTGGGATTACGAGCGATTGATTGGGCCCATGACAGGCAGCGCAATCGCGGCGTGTATGAACGAGACCCTTCGCCTTATTCCGCCCGGACCTGCAATCCCCAAGCAGGTATCCCGGGATCGTGACCAGGTGGTCAACGTTGGTGGAAAGGAATGTTTACTGCCAAAGGGGAGCATGATTATGCTTCAGGTTTTGAAAGCTCATGAAGACCCTCGCCATTGGCCGTACGGAGAAAGCCAATTGACTCCAGGACAAGACGACCTACGAGACTACAAGCCGGAGCGGTGGTTTGAGACGGTGCCTGGCCCCCGCTGTCAAAGGGAGACAAACCAGACAGACGAGGAACGGGCGCGCTCAGATTCGTCAGACGGCGGCGACGACGAAAGCGATGAGGGCATCGACCGCAAGCCCGACGGCAACGTGCGCTTCTTCCGCCCTCGTCGCGGCGCATACCTCCCCTTCAGCGATGGAGCCCGATCCTGCATCGGACGACGCGTCGCGCAAGTCGAAATCATGACGTTTCTCGCCGTCTTGTTCCAGCGGTACAGCGTGGAACTAGCGCCAGACCAATGGGCCAGCGAAGGCGAGATACAAAGAATGGGCAGGGAAGCCAGGGCTGACGTATACCGAAAGGCGCAGGCATGCAGCAGAAAGACTCTGGCGGAGGCCGAGTCTGTGATTACATTGGGCTTGCAGGGCAAAACGGTACCAATGCGACTCGTCAAGCGGGGGGAAGAAAAGTTTATCAACTGGATGTCGGATGCATAGTATAAGGTGAAGATGAATCATTATCATAGTGGCGAAATGGGAAAACGGAATAGGTGCATTTGTTTTTTTAACACACATGGGGGCAGAACTTGGGCTAACTGGGTAACTTGGCAATACATAATCAGGAGAGTAACCGGTGTGAGGCAGCATGAGCAGAGGCCAGCGGCCAATGAATAGTGAGCCATGTAAATTGGCTAAAAGGAATACAATGCAGTTTCTGAAAGACGTCGTTGGTCGAAGGCACGTTGTAAATGGACCAGGCGTGAGGAGTACTCGTCATATTGGTGAGAGTGACTCCAGTGGGTGATGGTGTTTGCGGTTCCATTACCAAGCGTCGAGAGAAACTGGCCATGATGAATGATCTGGCGAGAACGTTGGATGGAGCTGCCGACTAGACACCTAGTTGAGAGTTGGAGTCGGGCACGCAGCAGAGTTTCGGTGTGTCAAACCCTCGTACCGGGTAATTAATCAGCTTTGGCTCTGTTGAGTCCAGTTAGCCTATTAGCGGGTGAGACGACCGTATTCTCCAGGTTGAGGCAAACTCGTGGATAATCTTCAATGTAGGCTAGTGGATTTTTGACGTTTTTCTTCCCCTCGCGCATTGCGATGCGTGTTTGCGGTGTTTCCTTTGGTATGTCGCGGCGGTTCTCTGGTTTGGGTACGACCAGACACACGGTGTTTATACCAGTAGGCCCTTGCCTGGTGTGGTGCCAGCACGAATATGGGACAGATTGAGAAATAGGCTTGTTTTAAATTTTTTTTTTAACCAATAACTTCTCATCTACAGATATTTTACTAAACGTCGCGAGCTAGCTGAGTGGTCTTGGTTGATTTCGTAGCAGAGTTTACATTGTAAATAAGTGCCAATTAAATGACGATAGGCTATGAGGTGACGTTTGTTTTACCCATATGCCACCTGCTGCAACGACGCTCTGTCCTTCGAATACCATCTTCCGAGACCCTGAGTGTCTTGGTATGGAGGACTTGCTTTATTTTTGCGCAAGGGGACGTGCATGAACTGCTGATATGTCGGGCTACAGACACGATGGCAGGCGTGGTCCTGCTCTACTCGGACGGCAGGGAAGCCAGCCTGGGATAGGATCGTTGGGGCTGTTCAAGGATGCTGGAGAAGCTGATAGCTGCAGCATGTATGCGTGTATCGGAGGATGAGGATTTGCCCAAGTGATGGAGTTTGACCTGTTCGCTGCTGCGGCAAAGTGATGTGGGGAGCTGGATTTCAACAGAGGAGTGTTGGCTTTTTTACAAGACTGGAAAAGGCTGGCAACACGATAGCTAGGTATGCTTGAGATTGATTTGAGAGGATGAGGAAATCGCATTGGGAAGGCTCTTGGCCGACTTTGGGGTACTATCTAAAGACTCTTCTACCGTTTGGTCTTGTATCCGGCTTCTTTCCACTGAGTCAAGGTGCGTTATATAAACGGATGCCTCTCGCATATCTTCCAGTAGATTACCCCCAAATTGATTCCACTGTGATGGCACCTGTTTCGGTCTGGCCACAGAGCCACGCTCGTGATGGTTTTGGACTTGGTGGGCAAGGTTCGACAGACTGAGGGATATATCTTTTCTTCGTTTATGAACCATGCACGGTATGATGGCTCTCAAATACCGAGCCGAGATTTTAAGCCATCTTGAGCTGAAAGGAAGAGATAAGCATGAAGAGTTAGGAGAGGACGTTGATGCCACCTGGACCTACCCATCGGACAGCAAGCGGAGAGATTGCGAAGCCGTTCAAATTACATGTTGAAAGAATAGCAATTGGATAGCATAGCTATAGCGGTGCCGCTTTTGTGGCACGTATTGTGCAAGTGTACAGAAGTGGCCATGTTATCAAGCCGCGAGACTCGTAATTCGCTCCGTTGTATTGTTTCATGGCACGCAGGTGAAGTTCTGCCATAAAGTCGTGGTTCCTATTTGTCCCCTCTTGCCGCTAAACATGTGCGGCATTTTAATTAGCAACATCTTCCTGTCGTCCGGACCTTATACTTGACTTTTCTGGGGGACTCCATTGGCAGTGGTCACGTCATGATAATCGGCAATCGCTGCTGCCTACACTCACGGACGATTGTACCCAAGGGAGGCGGGGGATTTGTAAGGCGCACCAAACGGAAACCTGAAGACACGGATCTTGCCGTCTACTGAGCCGAGGGTACAGCGATCGGCGTAGGTGTTGAAGGCGATTTCTTGGACAAGGTCCTTGTGTCCGTGTTGGAGATTCAAATCGAAGGCTTGCTTCTCTGAGCCATTGTTGAAGAAAACAAAACCCCAAAGAACATGAAAAAGAAGAGAAAAGGGACGGAAAGAACAAGATGGGACCTGTGACGATTAGTTTTGGCTCATATGTCGGATGGTTACTCTGAGAGCGGCCAGAGCTTCAGGGCGATTGTTTCGAGTTTGTCGGCATGCGCTTCAACCTCGATCATACCGTTAGACTTTGGCGAGCCCCAGACGGATAGACTGAGCAGCGACGTCATTTCATCCCCTCGATCCACCAACTCGCGGATAGGTTTCCCGATGAATAGTCCGACTGCGTCTACACTTGTACGAGATAACTTGAAAGTGCCGCCGCCTTTAAGTTCCACATCAGGACCCTGTTCAACCTGTAGGACCCATCCTGTTGATGTCTCTGCAAGAGTACACCCAAATAGTGTGATTGCGAGATAAGGAATTGCCTTTCGCGAGATTAGGACTTTCAGAGAACATTTCGCAAGATCCGAGGCGCGGTATATCGAAACTCCTGCATGGCCATCTTTTTGCTCAATGCGGTCACACATTCTTGGATGGAATATGTGACGAAGGTGCTTCGACTCTTTAGCAATTTCAGATCAGTTTGACTGACGGCTCCTAGGCCCCACCCCGCACCTGATGGCAGATGGCAATGACAACAGCCGCCGCGCCTTCCTCCCACCTGCCTGCACCTGCACCTGCACCTGCCGAGTCCCCCCTGCCGCTGAGTTGACGTTCAATGTTCTTGAGAACCCTTGGCCGCTCCTGCTCCACCCTCGACCCGCCAAAACAAAACATGACTATGTAAACAACACACCTCAGCTGTCACCCACAACAACGCCCCTCTTACATCTCTTGAGAAACACCATAGTCAAAACCCATCTTTGCTACTTTTAATATTTCCTGGTTCCCCGCTACGGCTCACACTTCGTCAGGGCATCAGATCCTTGTTGCTCAAGACAAACAACCTTGCAGGTCTCTTGGTATTTTACGCCATTACATGGTTGCTTTGCGCGCTTGCATCAATTACACCCAACTTCTGCGCAACAACCGAAACCCAGTCCACCATGTCTTCTTCACAAACCAACGCCTGGCTGCGTGCGCAGCGCAAGCTCGACCTTGTCCAGGTCGCCGACAGTGTTGGCCTAAAGAAGTATGTTATTTTCTTTTGCTTGTACCTGGTCTCTTCTTCTTGCGGGCAAAGACTAGTGGTGTTGGGCTGTGGGCGCGTCGGGTTCGCGACAGCTGGAGCTCCCGCGCGCCAAAACAGCTTGATGCGACCATGGGACATTGGACCATGCAGCATCGCATCATTGAGTAAGGGACGAAGCTGCTGTTTCTGAAGCTGCGCGACATGTGCGGCGCCGGAACGCGCCAGTTTTTGCACCTTCTCAGCGTCGTTGCATGTGGCGAATTGAGCAGCAGACAAAACAAACCGAAAATCATGGTGTGCTAACCAGTCTGCGCATTATCTAGCTATGAGAGTCTCAAGAAGAGCGAGCTCGAGGTCGCGCTCGACGAGTTCATCGCCGAAAACAGCAGCCGCCTGGCCAACCGCTCCGATTTGGCTCCGTATTTCACCAGCCGTTCCAAGGCTCTTGGTTCTCCCGTGAAGAAGGAGAAGGACTCTTCTAAGGATGAGAGCGAGAAACCTCTCAAGATTGCCAAGCGCCGTGCCACCAAGGCCCTTGAGGAGTTGACTTCTGAGTAAGTATCCGATTGCTGTTTGGTCACTTCCACCAGGCCGTCCTGTAGAGGGACGCGACAAACTTGACTCTGGTCTCGCAACAAGAACCTTCATCACAGCTAACCCATTTGCTTGTGTCAACAGAAGCGACGAGCGTGGATCCTCCACTGCCATTACTCGTACTCCTGCTCGCAGCCTTTCTCAAGTTGCTGCTCGCATTCCCCTGCCAGCTACTCCTGCCGACGTGGCCAACGCCTTCGACCGCTCAACCATTGCCATGCGCAAGCGCGTCACCTCCATTTACCAGGAGACTGGCATCACGGAAGCCTCTAATGCTACCCGTGAGACTCTCAGTACCGTCACGAGCATCCTTTTCGTCGTCGCCGCTTTCGAGCTGTACTTCATCCGACCCGAGATACTGGCTAACCGCTATGCCTTCACCATCCCCGCCATTCGCGCCATTGGCACTCCCGACTACCCCATCTACCTGCCTGACATGTTCCTCATCTTGACGTCGAGCTTCTGGTCCCCGGCTCTTACCTGGGCTCTGACCAGCGTTGTTCTCCCCAGCCTGTTTGGTTACTTCTTCAACTTGACCGCCACCAGCCACTCGGGTCCGCGAACCCGCTCCAAGGCTGCGCTCAACGACACAGTGGTCGACCCTCTTACGTTTAGCATCGTCAAGGCCTTGATTTCGTACGTCGTCTACGGCCAGGGCGTCACATTTGGCGGCTTCCTGTCTGAGACGTCCATCGAGCGTCTCAACGGCGCCGTCTATGGTGGCTACAAGGGTATCCTTGTTGGCACTGCCGTCACGGGCATCGTAAGTATCTACGAGGCTGTGTTGAGAAAATAAAGGAGAACCTCGACATATTTTCTCGGCCCCCGGCTTGATACATCGTTGGTCAATACATGTCGCAAACAACACCTGCAATCAACTTTTCAACGCCTTCATGTCACGATTTTACTGGCAGCCGGTTCTCTTTATTTTACGCTTATGACACGACATGTCCTATGCTCTTGGTGCGATGACTTCTTTTTCTCTTCTCATGGGATTCTTATGTATCTCTTTCGAAGTGGCGTTCAGGGCGTTGATGGCGTAGCGGCGTGGCTTCGATACCTCTTTGTCTCGCTTTTATTTGACGACCAGCGGTTTCACCTGATCATCTGCTGCTAAAGCTACTATTTAATACCCGCCTTTTTCGATTTCTCCCGATGCCTCTACTCGACGTATTCAGGTGGCCTTGCATGAGGTGATGGCCCATGATGGGCTTGTTTATGTTATTTGGGTTGCCACGAACTGCATACGGAGGGACGGCTGGCGCTCAGGGGTGAGCTTGCCAAGCTGGGGGAGGCTCTTTGGGTTGCTTTTTTTGGAGACGGCAGTAATCACTTTTTTGTATATCGGGGAACTACTTGCCTTTCTTTTCAACATCCCCCCTCCTGCGGCCACAGCCAGCCCCGATCAATTATCCATTGCATTGCTAGGCGATGTAGTGGGTGGAACCCTTTCAAGGTGGCTATCATTGGTCTATGTGATTTACTTGTCGTGCGCTCTACTTGTCTTTTGCAGTGGCAAGGGTAAGCGAGGTGCTTTTGCGTGTCTTTTTGGTCTTACCATGGTGCGGTATTTTGCTTGGGTTGGGGCTGGGAAGGGGGCGAGGGCCACACGGTTGGGCTCGGTGTGGGATGGTAGAAGATACGAGTCAATGATTGGAAAATATGCCTTTCTTCGTTCTGAATATTCGAACGCTTTGACAAGTGGTGCATGTGTCTTGTGCCGTAGACTGTTGAAAACCAATTACAGCTTGTGAGTTGGGAAATCTTTGATTGGCGACTGCGCACTGGTCTGTACCAGATTCGGTCCTGCACAAGGAACTGCACATTTTAGATGTACGCCAACGTGCACTCCCCTGACTGACGATGGATTAAATCTGTCACGTCGACCGAATCACCGCGTCGTCGCTGACAGGCATACGTGGAGATTCGACTAATTCTACTAGACGAGTACATGATACGACTATTGAGAAAAATACAAATCCCTGGCTTGCCAAAGCACCCTTTTCCCAACTGACGCAACTCTATCACATCGCGACACGAAAAACACATAGGTTCCGAAACGCCCCCCCCCCCCTCCAATCTACATGCAAGACGGTGCCGACGCCCAGGCCTCCCATAACGAAAGAAAATTTCCACCAGTCGTGACCTGACGGTGGGTGTGCCTACGCCTTGCTGTCTATGTAACGAGCGGTATAAACAAGGAAAAGAAAGGGAAAACTGCAACAAAAGACTACGTTTCAGGACCCTCCGACTTGATCGGGTGCAGGAGCATGCTCCGCAAACACATGCGGCCGCTGCTGTCACTCCGGCTTTCCTCCTTGTACCCGCCGCGAAGGATGCCGGGGCCGCGGCGGCCCCCGAACGGCCCACGGCCGTCCATCTGGGCGTACCCGAGCCATCGTTTCCACAAGAGGGCGGGGAACTCGCTGTGGTAGTAGAAGCTGGTTCCTTTGTGGATGTGCTCGTTGAAGAAGTAAAAGGGGCTGTTTGGCCCGGAAGTCGAGTGGTTCCTGCCGCCGTTGAAGACGGCGTCGACGGCGGAGCCCGCGGGCGCCCAGGCGCGGTCGAGAAAGACGGGATGGGGGGCGTATACCGCCTTGAGCCCATGGTGGAGGGCCACCGACGCGGGAAACATTTCGGAAAACATGGTGCGGTGGTGGCGCCAGACCTCCTCGTGCATCGACATCAGCAGCCTCCTGCTCAGCCGGCCTGCCGTGACAATGGACGACCGCCGCGGGGGATTCTCGGGCGACGGGCTTTTGTAGCCGACAATGTCGTTGGAGAAAACCCAGCCGGTGTGGGCGACGTCGAAAATGGGATTGAGCGTGATGAGGTCGGCGCCTTCGCCGACTCCGCACTGGTAGGGCTCGTGGCCGGCTCTGCAGTTGTCCGGGAGAGCCCTCTCGCCGCGCTCCTCAAAGTAAAGAGACTTTCTGTCGGCGTGATCGACGGGCCCGAAGACGGTCCGTCTGCCCGACTGGATGACGTTGACTTCAACCGTCTTGGTGAAGTTCTCCCACGTCCCATGGTACGACGGGATGTAGTAGCGTTCGTTTCGCTCCCACAGCAATGGCCGAGGTTGGGCGTCTGCCCACCGGCCGATTCTGTCAAGCAGCTCAAAGTAGTTGCCGAGGTGCCGCAGGTCCATTTCCCAATTCCAAAAGTATTCATACTCTGGGTGTTGAGAGGCAAACACTTGGAGGGGGAAGTGTGCGCTGCGATATACACCGTGGATTGCCGCGCTGCTGGGGTTGTCGTAGGTGTCCTGAAAGTCTCCCGGGTAGAAAAGTTCCATCTGGGCTTCGCTCCAAAGAGTGACCAAGCTTTGAAACTCGGCGGGGATGTGGCTATCGAGAATTCGCTGAACAACCCCGTCATCGGCCCAGATGGGTTCGTCGTTGTCGAGGACGTGGAGCAGGATATGGATTGTGTACTCGCCACCGGACTTGAGTGACAGTTCCGTGATGAGAGCTCGGAAGTTGATTACTGCGAGATCTGTCCACCGGAAGCCGGTATAGCAGCGCACGACAACAGCTTGGCGAGGCTTCTTGCCCCTTCGGTCGCCCGCAGACTTGGGCAGTTGTCCGGATTTCGAATCAGGCGCTAGGAGGCGATGTTTGTTTGCGTCGGAGCATTGGTCTTGAGCCTCGCCCCAATCGACGTGGGTGTAATTAATCTTGCCGCTCTTTGCCCAGATTAACTCGCTGTGTGAATCTTCTGTGTCCTGGCCAACACCCAATCCACCTTCCTCTTTTCCATAGCCCAGACCATAAGGGCCAAATCGCCCAAATCGGTCAAAGCAGACATCGTCTCGCATTCCGAATATCTTGTACGATCCAAGTGCCGCGTCAGGCATATGCTGGGGCACACCATTGTATGCATACACGTCGGGTGCCGGGATCTTTCTGCTCTTGTCAAGATAACAAGTCTTGATACCTTTGCCGGCTGTGGTGTATGGGTTGTACGCCGTCGGCCGAAGCAGACGGCCCTTGTTGACAGGAGGCGCGGGCAAAGGCGCTGCATCTGTGGTACTGGGGTACTCTGGGACGAGGTCTGATGCCTTCACCAGCGTCTTCAACCCATGATAGTAGCCGTCGAGGCTAGATTGCGAAAGGTAAGTCTGTGTTTCTACCCTGATACTACAACAGAGAAAGCACCTACTGAGGGAACCGGAGCCAAGGCTTTTCCTTGGCCTCCTTCTCAAATTCTTCTCGTTCCTTTTCATCCTCTTCTCGATTGAGTTCATGAACTTGCACTTCCATTGCGGGCTTCTGGGAGCCGTCATTGACATTGATGATGTCAATGTTGGCAGTTGTATCCTTCCCCGCCCCTACTCCTTCGTTGCTAGCATTCTTTGGAGGATTTTGTACATTTGGAGCCTGGCTCTTGGCGTATTCAACCACGTGTGAAAGTGAAACACGCCGGCTTTGAGACAAAAAAAGAGTGACGAGCACCAGGCTCACCATGGCCCAGACCAGAACCCTTTTGTACAGACAGTGGCTGAAAACTGCCTTGATCCTGGGAACCCGTTTCTGAGGCGGCTTCTCAGAATGTGGTAACAGAGGGTCACCGTTCTTGAAGTCTGGGCCGTTGCGGGTGCCTCCGAGGCTGCCCAAGCCGAGTAGAGGTGCCAGACGCTCCATACCAGATGGAGTCTCCAAACAGAATTACATGTACATGAGGATGTAGGATTTGTTCTCGGAGAAAAAGCACCTAATTGTGTATAGGCATGTGTATATAAAGGAGGGCGTGTCTTGCACCTGTCGTGGTCGGAGTGGGTGGACCGAAAACAATGACGCCGTAAGACAAACGAAGCAGTAAAGGACTTTGCTGAATGCCGATCCAAGGTGGTAGACTGTAAGCCAATGGATGGCAAGAAAGGAGTCGTAGATATGAGGACAGTCGCAGGAAAGAAGACGTGAACGTTAGGGATCTATCTCCTTAGGTCTTGCCGGTAAAGCCATGCGACGCCGAAACGGGTGTCGAGACTCGAGACCCGAGTAGGCAGAGCGACAGGAATGCAAACCTTTCCGGCTAATTAAGGTGAGAAATGAAGAAACTAATACTTGAGAAAAATGAAATGGTATGAAAACCTTAATGCGACAGGGATAATGACCGCATGGTGGAGGTGAAGGAGGGTTGGGGAGAGACGCTTTCAGATGCAGAGCAATAGCCGCCGAGGGACACATGAGACTAACAGGAAAGGCAAAAGGTAAGACACAGCAAGGAAGGAACCAACAAGATTGACTTTGCGGTCCAAGGATCAACATGTCGTAAAAACCGCCTTTTGGTGAGAAAAAGAGTGGAACTTGATGGCCATGACAACGCCATGATTCGACAGAGGCCTAGCAATGCCCCGATGGATCAGGCATTGGAGGCGAGATTCGTGGTGCCGGGATGGCTGTCAAGATGGCCAAGGGGGGTTAGAAAATAGCAACCGAGCAGTAGGTAAGAGGGCATGGAATGGAGATGGGTTCGTCCTAGCAAGCACAGCAGCAACCAGTGCCCGAAACAAGGTCGATTACGGTCGACAGGCGTGTGGCCGAGACCACTTCTGCCATATCTACGACACTCAGACGTTTGAATCCTATTATTCCTGGTGGCCCGTCAGAAACATACGCAATCCTTTCACCTGTCGGTGCCGTACTACGGTAATGCCGCAGAGCGCCATGTACAACACTTCTACCCTCTCCACACATCCCACTATGCCCTCATGTTTGTCGCTGAGGCGCTTAAGAGGTACGGCCGTGGCTTGAGGCTGTCCTTTGAGACGATTGGCCCTTTCGCTTCTGATGGAGGCCACGACCATCGACCAAGTATCACAGTAACCAGAAGATCCTTGTCTCTGACTAAGGGATCGACTCAGCGACTGTGTTTTTGACGCACAACAGTCGCCCAGGTCTGACAGGAGTGGCCGGAAGCCCTGCAACCGTCTTTTGGCCCTCTGATAACGGCAAACCCGGCCACAGTCCATTGTTAACTTACCCATTCGTTCATTCCTGTTGGACCTCTTGTGGAGCCGCCATTGTACTTTCTAGCCACGCGGCCTTGAACTCAAACGTCATCACAAGGCGTTCGCGCCCCGGACACTAGAAATGACCAGGGGATGGTCATGCCGCCACCTTGGAATGTTCAGACGAACAGCAAATCAAGACGATTATGTGGTATGGCAGTGGCCCGCCAATCCCGACGGCGAAAATTCCAACGCTCTGAACTACTGGTGTAGCTGAAGGGAATACTAATAGCCATCCATGTGCGCATCCATTTGGTTCGGCACGGCATATTTGTTCAGGGTGGTTGTGCCAAGAGGCAACTGGAGCATCATCCGCATGTTTGTCTGCTGTCTGTATCTGCCTGCTATCGGTGCTGAGATGGTGGCGAAGAGAAAATACGATTGAGTTATTTCATGCGAGTAGTTGCTCGCGTCGTCATCGCCCTAAATGCAGTGAGTAGTGGAGCGAGGTCGAAAGATGGAGATTGTGGGTACCAAACTACCGTCCATGGTTAATGCAGAGCAAATGTGACCGACTGAATGAAAGACTATCTGCTGGTCGTGAAACTCTAAGGTATGACTCCGTAGGAAATAATATACCTCGTCCCCTTTTTGTCGCATTTCTCCCTTATGCTCGTTCGCCTTCTATGATTCATAGGAGCCAGGCCCACAATTACCCACAGTCGCCAGAACTATCGACAGGGGAGCAAGGAACAGCGTTCAGCGGGAGCCAAGAGCCCCCATCCGGACCACATGGTGGTTTGTGGTTGCCTTGTTGCTATACCACATGCAGCCAAACGTGACGAAGCCACCGTTGCGTCCCATTGTACCTCGAAACTTACTGCCGCCCCCGAATTACCGTACTATCCGATGGGAAGAACATGCAGGAGACTCGTAAAATGCAAAATGTTAAAAAAAAAGAAAAAAAAGAAAAAAAGAAAAAAAGGCCCGATAAAAATTTGGCTCGGGCAACGTCTAAAGTCTGCTCCGTCATACACACATGTGCACGTGTTCCCCCCTTCCCCTTCTGCCCGCTCCTGCCGCAGGCTCGTTTGTTGACACGTAACTCTTGATGGCGTGGAGCTCTGTACGCCCCATACTCCCTCCGTTCTCCGGCCGTCGGATCCTCAGTGTCTCAACTTCTAGGCTGCATTGAAAACCACCGCAATTCACTTCGACTTGCTATGCTGGCTGTCTGTCATCTAGCACGCCATTCTTTGCCGGCGAATCCTTCTGTTCACGCTTCGGCTCTCCAAGCGCCTGTCCTCCTGAGGCATCGTCCTTTAAGCTCTTTTCCAACTTGGCATCAGTCGCCTTTCTCCACGACTCTCCCCATCTGATGGCCGCCATGACGCCGACGGTAGATGCACCCAGAAACAAGGCCGAAATGGTAGAAAACCAACCGACTCCCACACCTTGAATCGCAGGCAGTACCACGCCTGTGCCCATGCAACCCGCCAGATATCTCACAAAGTAATTGGCTGCAACGACTTCAGCTCCCTGCCCTGGCATCACATCGAGACAGTACGTGTTCAGTGATGGGAAACTGAAGAGTTGCGCGATCCCCTGCACGAACAAGGCGATTACTGGAACGGGAATTCCTCCCACAGACTTTTCCACCGCCCAACCATATATCAGAACACAAGCGGGCATCACAAGACCCATGAACGGAACGGCTGAGCGTAGTCGGTCCTCTGGAACACGAACTCCATTGCGCTTCTTAACCCACATTCTAACCGTCCGATCTGCCCATCTACCGCCCATGAAAGTTCCAAGTATATATCCCATCCCGGGGGCAAGATAGAACAGCCCACCCAACAATGGAGAATCCAGGTGGAACCGTGGGTTGAGGACGTATCGAATGGGTGTAAGCAAGCTGTACATGTTCCAGAGCAAGGCGGAACTAGCACATGCCACGAGAACCTGGTTCCAATACCGAAACAGTTTCAGCACGCGAATGGGACTAATCATGTGCATTATTGCCCTGAGCCGTTCTTTTCTAGACATATGTTCCAACTCGGTAATTTTCTTGTGTTGCGCAGTCTCGGGAACCAGGAAGAAGACGCCGAGGACGCCGGTCCCCGCAAGAGCAGTTTGCAGCCAGAATATCGACCTCCACGACGAGTATGTGACGATGATGCCGCCTATGAATGGACCCATGGCCGGCCCAATGAGGGTACCAGACAAGAACCAGCCCATGGCTGTCCCTCGTTCGCTAGGACGATATATATCGCTTCTCAACATTAGTCCATCACATTCCATACAAAACAGCGGGGCTCGTACAAGGACCAAAACCCGAGCGATGAACTCACCCCAGACACGCGCTCCCTAGTAGAATAAAGGCCGTTCCCTCAAATGCCGAGAGTGCGCGAAATACGAAAAACGATGCCAGATTTGGCGCCAGGGCCGTCGCTAGACTCAGAAGGAAAAAAAGCACTGCCGTCAACATGATGACCGGCCACCGTCCGAATACCTGGCTCATAGGACCCCATACGATGGGCGACAGGCCCATAAAGACCATGTAGCCCGCGTTGGAGGCGTTGATGACGGACCCTGTCGTGTTGTATTCCTTTGCTACTTCGGGAGTAGCAGCGAGGACGGAGGTACTGGAAATGGGGGAGAGGAAGGCGCAGAACGAGAGGATCGCTACAATAACGGTTTTGCGACGTGGCGAGAGGCGATTGTAGAAGTCGGATGTGTCTTCGTCAACAGTTGCCGTCAAGGCCTGGGGTTGCAAGTCGTGGCCTGACACATGAGAGATGGAACGGTATACCTCTGGCGTGTTGTCGGATTGGTGTGCTATCGACGTGGGACGGGGTGTTGGCCCCGTTGTTTTTGGATGAGCCATTTTGCAGCAGTTGCTCATGAGTATGCCGTCTTGTGTGAGGCCGAGTGAGGCTGGCGCCTTGGGTTCAAGTATTTGGCGGAGCAATATCCGCCACAACTAAACAACCTCATCGAAGTTCATCAAAGTCTTACAGTTCTCTCGTAGGAACAGCCCACTGCAGAACAAAGGTGACTCGAAACACCAATTGAGCGGAGCTAAAGGCTAGAAGAACGGGAGCAAAGCGTAAAAGCGGACGCAGTAGAGGATTTAAATGAAACCCAACTCGTGGACCCCTTCCCCCCGGGTCCTCAACCTCCCAATGGGAAGCACAGCAACCCAACTTCCCCCCCATCGTGGCTCCATCCATGGATGACCAAAGTCGCCGAGCAGTAGATTCGTCCGTGCCGTCTCCGTCCCTCGGCCGCCCGTCCGGAGGAATTCGTCACAACTCCTCGGAATGGGGGGACGGGGAACTTCCGATCAATGTACCAAGGTCTCGACGTGAAACACACCATTGTGACGTTTTCCCGTGTCCGGCTACAGGGTGTTTCTACGGCCGTGTTATATCCGGCATTACCGAGGCATAACTGCGACTTCCAACCGTTGGCGAGGGACCAACATACTCTGACTACCAGGTGTTTTTGCGACTTGGTTTGGAATTTGGAGAGTATGGTCATGTTAGCCTGTGGGTAATAGCCGATTTGGCACACTTCTTGTTCATCGGCGCACTCATCACGGATTTGGCCCATGATCGGCAATCGGAGAGCGGATGGGACCCATTACACAAGGGAACCTGGATCACAGGTCATGGGTCCGTGGAGTTTCCGCGGCTCACCGCCGTTGGCACAGCGATGCAGATTTACAATTGTTTATTCAACTATATTCGTCCAGACATGAAAATGCGCCCATGCCATGCGATCATCCAACGCCCTGTCAAGTAAAAATGCCTCCTTGTTTTCCCCAACCTCAAAGTTCATGTAAATGCCGCGGGTATCTTGGTGTAGTAACTTGTGTAATCATGTATGTTTGCTCACGCAGCGAGCAATTTCTGCACACGCTCGTGGATGACTCGATCGATGGGCTGGCCGTGTCGCTGGATGACGACGTTTTCTCGGCCGCCAATGGCCACGATTCGCAGCCACTCGGGCGCGACTTCTGTGGCAATGAGGCGCACGCAGGCGATGCCTTCTTCCGCGGAGAGAGGGACGCGCAGCGAGTCCCTGAGCTTGTCTGATATGGCCAGCATGGTGAAGGCCTGTCGGGGAAGAGACAGCGGGTTCGACAGGCTGAGCATGGAGATGGTGGCGGCGACGTCGACCACGCGGTTGAGGGCGGCGCGCCGCTGGAGCTCGGGGCCGGAAGGCGGGAGGGGCTCGTTCGCCTTGGCGAGCTGCTTGTGTCGAAGGCGGTCCAGGAGACTCATCTTGGTGCCGTCTGGGTTGAGCAGCTGGGGTTTTTGTGCCTGCGGCTTTTCGTGCTTCTCCTGCTGCCTGGCTGCGATGCCGTTCTTGAGCTCGGAGAGCAGGCTTTGGCCTTTTGCCATGAGAGGGTTGGCTTTTAACCCGCTGCCCATGGTTGTGATGGCCGCCTGGGGAAGATCCGACAGCGACAGGCCCTGCAGGGGGACATGCACGTCTGTCATTTCGTCCATGGCCTTTTCGGCACACAGGGCCCGGATGTTGTCTTGAAATTGTTTGTTCAGGAGGTCTTCCTTGATGGACGCTGCTTCGACGCCGTTGGCCAGCTCGACGCAGACTCTTCCCCGTCCGTAGTCGGTGATAATGAATGGTGACGCCGAGTTCTCCTTGCCGTAGGACTGAATCGCAATGCACCGCCGGAAGTCCTCCACGGTGACTTGTCGTTTCCCCCATGTTCGTGAGACATTTGGTGAAATCACCCTGATATCGATGGGGGCCGTGCCGCCACTGTGGGCAATCTGAATCAGAATGGTCTTGAGGAATGCCTTGTTGAGGGTAATTAGGTCGGCCAGCTGCGGCGGCAGTGACTTGTCGTCTCCATTGGCCTTGGCTCTGTCGGCTTTCTTCCGGTAGAGGGCATCAATCTTGGTTTGGACCTTCTTCTCTTGTTGTATGGTCTTGGTGATGACAGTTGACTGGCTGGGTCTGTGGGCCGTCTTTGTCCTAGACGGCGTGGCCTTGGCTGTGCGTTTTCCCTTGCTGGGGGTAGAGGCTCGAATGCAGTCGGCGGCGGCAGATGGCTCGGCCCGTCTCGGACGCTTCGAGGAGGTGTGTTCTTGCTCGTCTTCGTCACTGCTTGGAGGGAAAGAAACAGTACGTCGTGCCAGTCGTCTGTCGCTGTCCTGTTCGATGGAGCTTGCTTTTCTCTTGCGTGACGAGCTGGGGGCAGGTATTTCCACGACGACGGCCTTTTTTGCGGCTCCATCGGGCAGTGTTTGCGACTTGGCAACGCGTGTGAAGTTGGTGATGGGATTGGCAGAAGGCACGGGTTCGACGGCCTGCCGCCTTCTGATTGCCGGGCGAGGCATCTTGCGAAGTCGAGGGATGTGCGTCAACTCGTTCGCGAGAAAGGTCGGCAGCGGTGTGCTGGGAAGGCTCGAGGCAAAATAGATGAGATGAAGGCGGCCTTTGTGGTTGTCTTGCCTCAAAAAACGAAGATGCGCGGAAAGTACAATGTGACGCGGTGCGGTGCAGTGCAAGAGCAATGGAAGTCGTGATTGTGCAGGGAAAGGAAAGATGGGAGGTCAAAATGCCCAAGGGCGCCTAGGTAACGGAGTGGAGGTGGGACAAGCCAGGGTCAATGAGCTGGGACGTGCAGATACGCGCCATCGACAATTGCAGACGCGTTTTTTGGTGTTGAGCGCGTAAAGAGCATCGACTGGAGGTGGCACGCGCTTCCGCCCCACCACCTCATCACCATTCACGACCATCATCACGGCCATCATCGTCAATCAACACTCATGGGACAACATTTGTGTATTCTGACTATTCCTATTTCAAGCTCCATGACACCTGACATTGGTAGCTAGATGCATCGGCAATCCGTCAAGCCTTGCGGATAATTGCTTCACCATTCATGATGCCCAAAACTGCATCATCCGTCGCTGCCCACGTCTTCCAAGCATCAATCATTTCCTCAACCTCCTCCCTCTTCACAGTCCCGTCTTCCAGCGCCTTCCTCCACACCGGACCACTTTGCAGACGCTCCACCATGGAATCACCTGGGCAAAAACATATTAGCGGCCAAACTCGATCTACATTGTGTGATACACTCACTCCACGGCTTCCGATCTCCGGCCGAGCCATAACACCAGGTTCCAAAGCTCATCTCGACGTTTTCTCTCTGGGCGCCAGCCTTCAGCGCCCAGGAAAGCAGCTCCCGCCCCGCAGTGCCGCTCGCCCCGTTCGAAATGTGCTGTTGAACGTTGAGCTCGTGAAACTGCTGCAGAGCCGGAATCTCTGGCCAAAAGCACCACATGCGCATATCGGCTTCCCGAAGAGACACAATTCCACCTGGCTTGGTCACCCTCAGCATCTCGCGAATTGCGTCGACCGGCGCATCCAAATGCGTAAGGACCTGATGGGCGTGTGTGACGTCAAAGCTCGATTCGGGAAAGGGAAGCTCATAGGCGCTCGCCCTTTGGTAGCTGATATTCTTGACGCCCTTCTTTTCTGCGTGAAACCGTGCCCGCTGTAGAATGTCATCCGAGATGTCTGTAGCCGTTATTTGGCCCTCGGGCATGTAGTTTGCCAGGGAGGCGGTGATGGTGCCTGACCCAGCACCCACGTCGAGCATTTTGAGATGCGGATTCTGGGACGCGCTTGTTTTAAGGTGCGGTATGAGATGGGCAGCGCTGTTCTCGGCAGTTCGCCATTCATGATGCTGCACCTGGGGGAGAGCATGGCCCGGGCCGTAGGTGTTGTGCTGTGTAGGTGCCATGGTCATTCGTATCCCTTGGTGTATTCTAATTGCTCAGCGTACCAATTGGTGATGTATTTCACTTGTGTGAGTATCTTCTAACCTGAAAATCTTAATAAAGAGGAGGAGGAGAGGAGACTCTTGCAGTTGAATCAAGGGGTTTATACTTGGCAGGTTCTTGAGTGTAAGTTGTGGCGACACCCCATCATGGAAGACGCCTTCAACCCTCATTGGCTGGTGATGCCGGCATTGACGGAGTTGAGCGGAGTTGAGCGGAGCTGAATGGCGTTCACGATCAAATCTAAAAATAACCCGCAAGGCAAGCATGGGAGTCATGACGAGTAGTAATAGAATAAAAAAAGTGTAGTTACTATGACACAGCTTATTATTTGAAGTACTTAATAGAGCCTGCTGATACCTCGATTTATATGAACATATTAACCCTGGCCGTATAGACGCTCGGGTGGGGGTCTATTTACGAGCAATAGCATAGGGAACGTACACTACTCTGCACAGGGTAATGTTACGCTTTCTAAGTATTACCGAGGTACTTGCGCCTATTTATCTAATATTGTTAGAAGCATACAATAAATAGTAGTTTCCTAGTATAATATGCTGTTTTATTCAATTGTTTCCCAACCAACTACTAAATCCACAAGGCACTGTCCTCAGCCAGATGCCAAGTCTCATAAAGCCGCTCAAATATAATGCCAGATCTCCGCAATGCGTATGTGAAAATCAGACTCTTTTCCGATAATGTCTAGTTTCGGACCTGGATCAAGCCATTTGTCTACACTTGCACTGCTGATTCAGCATGGTATGGATTGTGGCGAAGAGTTTCCAGAGCTTGAATAACACTGTCAATTTTTTGAACGCCGAATGCCGCCATGCTGAGATTGAATAGTGTATTTGAACGAAGATTTACGTCTGTGCTTGCGAGGGAACCATCTTCGCGCCATGTGGAATGGGGACAGGATACAGTCGGGCACAAATATAAGTGTATCCGACATCCTTATACCTCTTCAGAAGCTCGGGTATCACCATTTTTACATCTCCAAGCAGTTTTCGAAACACCCATAATAATGCCCCCTCGTCTCAAGCCACTGTTCCGTCCTCTTCGTACGCTGCCATTGCACTACAATCGAGTCTTTCAATATCGAGCATTTCATGATGCAAAGAAGTACATCAAGGTCAACGTAAAGGGGTCTCTAAAAACACAACACCTTGACACTTTTTATCAGGGAACCCCATGAGGCCTATATTATACTCCATAGAGGAATTACCTTGACCATGAAATCAGCTAGCTATTATTCAGTAGAAAGCCTGCGCCTCTCTTGAGATCCCGAAAAGATCTCTTTAATATTCTTCCATGAAGACTTTATATTTTGCGTATAGTGAGTAGATTTATTTTATATTAATAACCGCGCTCTTAGTCTCTTTAAAGCCACGGTACCATATGCGCGTATTATTATTGACCGGGACCTTCCACGGCAGAGTGCAACCAATATGGGCCTTGCAACGCTCTGGCTATAAGGGACATCACATTCTACTACCGTGGATGGCACAGCCGATCGTGAGTCCATTGGTGTTCGAGGTAAGATTACCAAGCACTTATTTCAAGTAGATTAGTTTGAGGAGTCCTCACGAGAGAGCAACAGAAGATTAAAAGGAGTTCTCTGAACTCTTGCCAAACAGATACTGCATGAATACATAGGGCTAGTACTCAACCGCATTTGCTGCATCGCTGTCCTCGGCGGCTACGTCATCGAATCAGCTGCTTTCTGCAGTGCCCACCTTGTGCCAGCGCTCTTTAACCGCTTGCAATGCTATTTATCTGGAGTGATTTCCTTACACCATCTTTGAAATATAAAATTTATAGTAAAGCATCAGCATGTCTGCCAGAATCGACGAGAGACGAAAACGTGTGGGGAGACGAATCAATGACACTACAAATGAGATTTCGGAGAAGGAGCGAGGATTAATAATGCACGGCTGCTGCGATTCAAGACGTCTTGATGCATCTTCCCTGGCTCTTCAAGTACCCCGTGTACTGGAGGTTCCGTTCCGCTATTCCCTGAGCCTCTGAAGCCAGTTGTGGGTTCTGGAAAAGCTTGGCCTCGGCCTCCTCAAGCTGCTTTGCATCTTGTCCTCTGGCGTAATAATTCTGAAAAACATAATTGAGGTCAGAAGGGCAACGGATAATGTGAGCAACGTGAAAAGAGGTGCTTGATGGGTCGCGCCACTCCCGCTTGAGCTGTTTGGGGAGTTGGTCATCAAGAGCCAGGGCGACAGAAAATTGTGAGAGGAATAACTTGGCATAATTCGTCCATATATGGCCGGTGACCCATGCTGGCGGCGTGCAAAGCTGGCGAGGAACTGTGCTTGTAAACTGCCAATCAATAAAGCCTACGATCTTCATCTCTTCATCAACAATGATATTGCTTGGCCGTAAATCTGGGTGGCTAAGGACAAATGGACCATTGTCAAACTCGGGCTTTATAACGCTATTGAAGCAAGGTTTCATGCTGTTGATGCAAAACATGTCGTAGCGAACCTCGTCCTCCGGGTGATCACGTCGCGGCGCAAGTAGATAGCTGGAAATGAGGTCGAATTGGGACTCCACAAATGCCTTGGCGGACACGAATCTCGACAATTCTCGGCGAGCATCGTTTGAGGATTGTGTAAGAAGACGGCCAACTATCGGCTGCGACGCATCGCCGCTTGGCATGAGAGAACCGATGGCGGGCAGCTCTAAAGACCGAATCTCTGCTAAATAGCCTAGCAGTTGGCGGTAGAAATTGGTCTTGATGGTGCTGTGAGCGCGGAGCAGCTTTTCCTTGGCAAGAGGCTTGCCTGGAATGTAGTCCAGGATGAGAAACATTTGCGTAGCCGTGGGACTGGTCGTCAACTTTTCCCCTTTTCCGTATGCGTGGATTTTGGCCACTGGTATACTTGTCTTGATGCGGATGAGACCATGGGAGGGTTAGCTGATGGTTTTGCTGATATTGACCAACACGTACTTTATAGTCGCTACCTCGCTGAGGAGTGTTTGCCATGGATTATAGAGAGCAGGTTCAATCGGAATTCTCACAACCCACTCGTCGTCATTATCAAACTTGACGAAGAAGCAGGCATTATAGCTACCCCTAGCTTGACCAATGATGCGACAAGTCCTATCGCCGTTGTAGCGTGATGCCAATGCCTCAATTTTTCTCGGCAGCAGCGATGCGACGAAACTATCACTGGCCTTGATTACTTCGTCGTCAGTCAACGCAAGGAATTCGTCATTTGGGGCCGTGTCCCCGGCTATGGTCGCGGCAGGCTCCTGGCCTGTGTAGGACGCATCGCCCAGAGGAATTAGGAATCGCCATAAACGAGAGACTAACTCATTGATCCAATGTCGCAGATGCACCAAGAGCTTACGGAGAGACATTTGGAAGAGGCTTCATTCCGCAAAATTGTAGATTAGATTGGAGGGAAGCGTGCGCACGACAGGCTTGCCGAGTGCATTAACCCAGGTGTCACGTGTCGCAACGTCACATGCAGGGTTCTGGTAGCACAGAGTCGACAGACAAGGCCAGCACCAGACAGGACCAAAAGATTCCAGTAGCCGCCCAGGGCACAGCACTAGAGTGTAAAAACGGGTACCCGTGGGCACCCGTGGGTATCCAAGTTTTTCTTGGGTTATTCGTGGGCTACCTATTTTATCATGTAGGTAGTTTAGGTATACCACGGGTAATCTAATATAAAGATAAGTACTTTATAAATACCTATAAATATATAATAATATAATATAATAATATAAATTAAATAAATAAATAAATTATAATAATTAATTATAATAATTAATATTAACTCTTTAATATTTAATTATATTTATAATAAGTTTTAAGT